AGTCGCCCCCTGCTGGACACTAGAGAGAATGCAGCTTTAACACTTGAAGCATCGGTTCTAGTTGGAGTTTTTGAGCGTTTTAATACTGGCCACTTTACTATACAATGACGAGAGCTATATGTCACTTAACAGCTGGCTCATCACTAAGTAACCATGCAGGGATTACGTCTTTCAGGCTTGTTTTTTTATCAGCGCCTTGGTGGTCCTACGTCTGAACGGGTCAAGTCCTATTCTGAGAGTGTGTGTTCATGAGACGGAGAGTACGGAGTGTAAGAACCTGCTGGGACTAAATATTTAGTTTAATACCATCTGAGGAAACATTGTCATGATCGATCAATGATGGCATGAATGTTCATGGTATTTGTTTGTACTATCCTTTAGTTGATGTGAAAATACAAGTTTTTTGTGTTTGTACGCGCATGTGTGTGTGTGAGAGTGTGAAGTGTGTGTTATGTCACTTCACAGGCTCGCACTAAATACAGGTCACAGCTCATCTCGTCAAACATGTAACTTTGGAACAACTTAAGAGTTGAAACACAAACTTCAACCTTCTTTCAAGAATGTTCCCAAAATAATCCGCCTGGTCTCATCCAGCTTTCGTAGCAGCAACACTTCTCTCGTTATTTTAACCAAAACAACAATCTTTTCTTAGACCTAACTCAGTAGTTTTGTTTCCTAAACCTAACTTGAGTTTCCTGTGAAGACGGAAGTTTATTTTGAAAATACTGAATTCACGTAAAGAGGGGAAATTGTTGGACTTTCGTAGTAAAACGCACGAGAATTGAGGAGTAACTTTTGTTAAGATATCAGAACATTTGTCTGAAGATGTGTTGAACTGTCAGAACATTTGAAAGAGTCGGTGATGAGATCAAGATCTCAACCTGGATGAAAGGGTTTCAGTACTAAAGGATGAAATGACTCCTCTGGTGGATGAATTTGCAGTGAAGAAAATGGAAGTGTGTGTGTGTGTTTTTTGCTTGAGTGACTGGTTATTTAGTTGAAAGACAGGTGTGATAATTAAACACCTGTTCCCCTCCTGAGGCCATGTGTTGTTGTTAATGGTTAAGCTGTTAACACTGAGGCCAATCTGCAGAGTTGTGCCTATTTTAACCAAAAGGTTTGTAGTACAGAATGTTTTTACATGATAATAACATAGTTAAATGTCGTGTGATGCACGTCAGTACGTGTCATTATGTCAATAAGGGTGAAGGAAACCAGCAGAAGGACTTAGTGCATGAACTAATACATCGGTTATGTTAAAGATCAGAGAAGTGTGACAGCCAGGAGCATGATGGGTAGTGGAGTAGCTCCAGGTGCTAGCTGGGTTAGCTTAGCTTCCAGCTCATATACATTCACACAGGAAGAACATGAACATCAGTGAAGACCTCGTCTCCTCCTTGTTTCCTGCACTCGCTGCAGGTTCACAGCTCAAGCTGAGCTCTGATTATCACGGTCACAGAGGAGAGAGTGAAATGCCACACCGACGCTCAACTGAGCGGACCATATGCTGAGTGTGTGACGCACACACACATTCGGTTTAGGCCTTGACGTGCAAAAGATAAATCCACATTTCCATCGAGTGGTTTGGGAGTGAATGAGCTGTGTTACGTACTTTGAGCAGAAGTTGGGCTTCTGACTGTAATCTAGTAAACAGTAGAAGAAGAAGGAGTCTAGGAGAGAACAAACAGAGAGAGCTCTTCGTGGTCATAGTTCTTCCATGTCAGCGAGTGTCGGCCATGTTTTTAATGTTGCCTGGAGACGAAGACAATATAAATATATATATCCGGGAAACAGCTGATCGGGAACAGAAGTTTCCATTTAAGAACAATTACAAAAATGTTTGTGCATGCTGGGAAGAAAGTCAGACTTTAAACATATATATTTATATATCGGCCACGAAGATTTGAATGAACTTATGATTTATTATAAGTGAAGTCCTGTTTCTATGGAGATAAGTTGAGTGAAAACAACTGAGAATAGAAACGGTCACATCAAGATGACTCATTAGGGCTGAGTGATGTGGCTTATAAATAATAATTATTGATATGTTTAGGTCATGCTGTGATATAAGATATATACCTAAATATTTTCATACTGTTATTTAACCCTTTGAGCATACAGTGTGATCAGTCTACTAAACTAATCTGAACTGTTAGGTGGTCTGCTTTTATTTTGAAGTAAAATCGGTCCATGGAAACAGGAAGTTTGTGATGTGGCATCGAGTCAGAAATGTATTTATTATTTAGTTTGACTCTAATTATTTACTGAAATCAAGTTTTCTCTAGACTACAGTTCATAGGCAGTATTTATATCTTCTTTAAGTTAACATTATATGTATTCATTATTTAATATTTGTTCATTTTGTTTCACACGACGATTTACAGTCAATGTTTGTAATAAAGTCATTAACTACGTCCCACGTAGAACAAGATGCGTAACATCGAGTGTGTTCGACATTTTCACATAAAATGTATAAAAACCTGACTAGTGATCAAAAGCCACACACACACTTCTGCAACGACACACACACACACACACTTCTCTAACGACACACACACACACACACACACTTCTCTAACGACACACACACACACAATTCTGCAACGACACACTCATGCTTCCTCATTCTTTGTCCTGAAAGAAGCCCTTCACGTCTCTTCTCTTTCAGTCTCTCCTCTCATGAATATTTCATAATGACGTCCTCTCCTCTCATGAATATTTCATAATGACGTCCTCTCCTCATGAATATTTCATAATGACGTCCTCTCCTCTCATGAATATTTCATAATGACGTCCTCTCCTCTCATGAATATTTCATAATGACGTCCTCTCCTCTCAGCTCTGCTGCTAAATGTAAACACGGCTCAACTATTTATAGAAAATCTGCAAAAAAAAAACCTGCTGCTGCTCCACAAGTATCGGCTCTTCAGGAATACAGGAAGCACCGCGTTCCTCCGCCTCCTCTGTGTATGTGAATTCTGGGATTTTTAACTTTGCTGAACTGGTTCCCAACAACATGAAGAATGATGAAGCCTTTTCAGCGCTCATGACAGAATGACGCACGTTCACCGTCTTTGCCGGATCTTCAGATTTCCTAAACATGTAAAGGACAAACCTGTGTCCTGGTGACCGCTGAGCGAGAGCAAGAAGCTCCACTCTGTCCGTCCGTCTGTCCTTAATATCAGAGCTCTACATTAAAGTTGCATGAACAACAGAATGTTCCTGACACACTCTCTCTTTCTCTCTCTCTCCCCCTCTCTCTCTCCCTCTCTCCCTCTCCTCTCCTCCCTTCAGGCTCGTAACGTAAACACAGGAGAGCTGGCTGCTATCAAAGTCATCAAACTGGAACCGGGTGAGTTATCTCATCTTGATATTCTCTCTGTTCCTCGTATCAACCTTCCTCTCCTCTTTTTTCTCCCCTTCTTTTTCCCGTCATCAGACTCCTTTCTTCCACTCTTAGCTGCTGGTTTCCATCTTCTGCTCCTCTATGAACGAGAGGAAAACTAAAATGTGGAAATGTTTCATCACGTTGTCGCTAAATAATCGAGTTCTTCAAGTGTGGTATTTAAAAATCACAGGTTGAAACCCGCTCTGCTGCTCTCTATTATTGAGACACAAAGCCAAGACTTCTCTTCTCTGTTTCTTGTTAAATAATAATAATAATGTTTATTCACCAATTATTAACAGACCCGATTATTTCTATGATAATATTATAGAGTAACGGTCGAGACCTGCTGTGAGGAAAATGTATTGAGCTGACTTCTGTTATGATTCAACGCTATATAAATAAAATGATAATTGTGTGTGTGTGTGTGTGTGTGTGTGTGTGTGTGTGTGTGTGTGTTCCCTCCAGGTGAGGACTTTGCTGTCGTCCAGCAGGAGATCATAATGATGAAGGATTGTAAACACTCCAACATTGTGGCCTATTTTGGCAGTTATCTCCGGTAAGTAAGTGTGTGTGTGTGTGTGTGTGTGTGAGTGTGTGTGTGTATGTGTGTGTGTGTGTGTGTGTGTGTGTGTGTGTGTGTAGTTGTGCTGACAGCTTGTCTGTTGTGTGTGTGCAGGAGAGATAAGTTATGGATCAGTATGGAGTACTGTGGAGGAGGCTCTCTGCAGGATATCTACCACGGTAAGAAGAACACACACACACACACACACACACTCACACATAATAACAGTGCTGTTAGTTTTGACTCTTGACTCCATCTCTCTCCTCCAGTAACCGGGCCGCTGTCAGAGTCTCAGATAGCCTACATGTCCCGGGAGACCCTGCAGGTAAGCTGTTCGCTCTGTTATTTAGCTCTGTGAGCAGAACATAAATCAGACGTAAAACAAATGTTGAGACCAAACTGGAATCATTCCCTTAAAGAACCACAGCTGCATTAAGTAACAGGAAGCACTGCAACGTGTCGGCTATCAGAGATTAAAGCCAAACGTCTCTCAAGCGTCTGATTTTCATTGAACCAACTGTTGCTTCTGGTGAAGACAGACGTCTTTATTCTGTTGTGTGATGTTCTTGTGTCACTGACCTGCAGCTGCTGTGTGCTTGTGTTTGCAGGGTTTATACTACCTTCACAATAAAGGCAAAATGCACAGAGACATCAAGGTGAGTTTGGAGAAAGCTGAATGCAACCGTTCGATTGTAACTTCCTGTTTGAAGGAAGAAGCGCGTAGTTCAGTTGAAACCCTCCACACTGTTACAGCAACACCTGTAACGTGTTTATTTCAGGCTCGTTGTGTTGGATTACTTTACTGCTGTTTCCATTATTTTGTCCACCACATGTGTGTGAAGCGACGTGTTGCGGAGACAAATTCTGTTAATCATTAATTATCATTGATAATGAAGGTAATCGAGTGATTATTAATCAAAGTCAAAGAATTAAAGCACAAACATTCAGCCATGAATTTATTTAATTATTTTAATTGTTCCTGTGACAGGGAGCCAACATCCTCCTGACAGACAACGGCTACGTTAAGCTAGGTGAGTGGTTCTGAATAAATATATATATATATATATATATATATATATATATTATAATAATAATAATAATAATAATCATTTACTGACCCGCTGCTCCTCCTCCATCACTCATCACATTCCTTCTCTCTCTCTCTCTCTATTCTTCTTCTTCTTCATTCCTTCTCCCTCTCCCTCTCTCTCTCTCTATTCTTCTTCGTCTTCATTCCTTGTCCCTCTCTCTCTCTATTCTTCTTCTTCTTCTTCTTCTTCTTCTCCCTCTCTCCCCCCTCTCCTCTCCACAGCTGACTTCGGTGTGTCGGCTCAGATCACAGCGACTCTGGCCAAGAGGAAGTCCTTCATTGGAACTCCGTACTGGTTCGTTGAGTTTGTTTTTCTCCTCCAGCATGAAGCATGAAGTTAGAGCAGATGTATCAGCTTTAATGTCCGTAAAGATGTTCTGGATTGGTAGATTTTTATCTTGTTTTTATTGGTGAAGCAATGTGACAAAAATGATTTAGATACGTTGACATAAACATGTAAGACAGAGGTAAAGACGACATTATAGAGCCGTTACGATGACGTAGGTAATGAAATTATGAGTAAATAAATCAATATATGCCTCAACATCAATATCCTAATGGTGATAATATAATGACTTGTTTTCATATATTAGTCATATAATATTAATTATAACAATAAGACCGGGTCAGCAGAGAGGCAAGCAAAAATATATTCAATAACTTCTCTTACGTCAGACAGTGTGAAGGAATCTGTCTAATGAGCTGCATCATATGTTGTGTTATCTGATGTGTTTTAAGCAGCTGGAGCAGGAGAGAAATGCTGTTTAATTAACCTTATTGGTTGTTTTCCTCCTCCTCCTCTTCCTCCTCTCTCATAGGATGGCTCCTGAGGTAGCAGCAGTAGAGAGGAAAGGAGGTTACAACCAGCTGTGTGACATCTGGGCTGTGGGCATCACAGCAATAGAGCTGGCTGAACTACAGCCTCCCATGTTCGACCTGCACCCCATGAGGTGTGTGTGTGTGTGTGTGTGTGTGTGTGCGTATAATACCTGTTTGGACTGTGATAGAGTGATGATAGCTGAGTGGAGACATGCATTCAATGTGAGGATGATAAGGAGATTTAACTCTTTTGAAACAGACGTGTTTAAAACACTGATTTCTCAGAATGTATAAATATAAATCTATATATCTATATTTATATACACAGAGAGACCTCCAGCTGTCTCTTGTCGTTATAACTATGTGGTTCGTGGTCAGTGTTCTGCTCTAAAGACTCCAGGTTTACTCTTCATCTCTCCTCTTCCTCCTCAGGGCTCTCTTCTTAATGACCAAGAGTAATTTCCAGCCTCCTAAGTTGAAAGATAAAGTCAAATGGTAAGAGACCAGTGAAGGGCTTCTATGTCTCTGCGTGAGATCACACAGTTTTTAATCACACCCTCTCTCTCTCTCTCCCTCTCTCTCTCTCTCTCTCTCTCTCTCTCTCTCTTTATTCTCTCTCTCTGGACGACAGGACAAATAACTTCCACCATTTTGTCAAACTGTCGCTCACCAAGAACACAAAGAAGAGGCCGACGGCTGAGAAGCTGCTGCAGGTGAGAACATATTTATAATTATTAAGGAAACAGCGTTGGTAAGCAGAGTAAACGTAACAGCTGTTACTTCTTTATTGCATCAAACTTCTTCTTTACTACATTTAAAACTCAAACAGAGCTGGTGATTGTTGGAACAGTGGAAAGACTAAAAGAGATGGTCAGCGAGGAAAAATGACGTCTAAAAAGTTGTCTGGAGGCTTTAAAGACATCATAGGAATTATATGTTTGTACATTAATAAGTTAAATTAAAATATCTTATAATAATTGGTCATATACCTGAGGACAAAGGCCGGATGTTAAAGAGTGTTTTTTGTTCAGCAGGTAAAGGGCTTCAGTCAGTAAAGTTTAAAAAGAGACTGAATAAGTAACAGATACAAACAGAAGTACTACGCTACGCTACGTTTACTGAACCTGTTATCTGACACGTCTGAGACGCTGAACGCAACACACCAGACAAAAGTGTTTTATCCCATATTTCTAAATAAATGCACTAATTCTGGTGGGACAGGTGTGTAAGACTGATGAGCAGTGAGTCTATTTATCTGTCGATCAAATAAAACTAAAACGTCTGTCCCAGCGTGAGACGCTAGAATGATGATCTAGAATAACACTGTCTCTCTCTCTCCCTCTCTCTCTCTCTCCCTCTCTCTCTCTCTCCCTGTCTCCCCCTCTCTCTCCCTCTCTCTCTCTGTCTCTCTCTCCCTCTCTCTCTCTCTCTCTCTCTCTCTCTCTCTC